TGTACTGAGCTAAGAGCTTTCACGTGGATTCCCTCAACAAATCCTGACCTTGTGTTGCCCTGATTATGTACAGGTGGGAGTACCAAGGTGGCAGCTCAGCTCACACCTTCGACCAGGTGCGAGCTGGCAGGCATGGGCTATGCTGCTGTAGCCCCTTAGCATGCTAAGTCCACTCCACCAAAGGACTTGGATGCAGAAGAGCTGTGGGCTGGGAACTGGGAAACTTTGTCCCACCCGGACCATAGACACCTGCGGGCTGCCTTGTCATCAGGCTCCTGCAACTGGCTGGGGGTGAAGCAGAAACCCTGCAGGCGCCCCTCTTGTCCTCCTCAGGGGTCTCCCAGCAGGGACGCTTGGCATTAGTTTCACTGCCAGGCTTTCTATTGTCTCCCAAAGCTTTCTCTTTCAGAGGAAATATAAATATCAAAATATATGAGATGTATAAATCAAAGAGCTCAATAAGGTGGGGGCCTCTGGGTTTTCTGGGGTGATTTGGGTGCCCTCACTGTGTTCTCCACAGGCTGTTCCCATGCACCACTTCCAGTCTCCTCGAGACTGATCCTGTTGCTCCTGAGCTGTGCCTTTTCTTTGCACACAAAGCTCTTGACAGAGTTTACTTGTAAAATTCTACACCAATGAGTTAAGTACAGAATATAAGATGTAGAAGAATCCAGAGAACTTGTTGGCTCTGGGTCCCTGGGGTGGGAGGAGGTCAAGTGAGAGAAACAGTGGGCTGAACAGGGGACCTACCGGAAAAACTAGTAGCATACAAATATACATACATTTATAATCTTGCTTAAGGAAACCCAACACCCATTTAAAAATCTTTCTTGGAAGGAATCCATCAGCATGAAGGAGAAGGAGAGACATAACTATGAAGTTTCCTGGGGAGAAGCGGGACCCTGGTCCAGTGTGAAGGAAGGAAGGCAGAGTGATGGGGGTGTCTCAGGTGGCATTGGTGGGAGGAGGGGGTGGCCATCGCCTGAGCCCATCTCTGAGGTCTGAGGTCCTGGGCCAAGAGTGTGGGCTGGAGAATAAGAAAGCTGGAGGAGACAGGAGGTGATGTAATATCACTGTCCTGCGAGGGACCAGATGCCCAGGGAAGGGTGAGAGGACTGCCTGCCATCCTGGACGGCCAGGGAAGCCGGTGACCGTACATTCAGAGTGAGAACGTGGGCTTGTGATCTTCTGGCAGCATTAAGCTCCCGAGCTCCACAGGCAGCAGAGTGAGTGATGAGAGAGGTGTCGCCAGGCTGGGTTTTCTGGGCAAGTGGAGTTGGACAAGGGGGTTAAAGCCTGGACACCTGGTGAGACAGGAGGACACCTCGAGCATGGATCTATCTGGGAGCCCAGGAGCTGCAAAGACAAAGAGGCCATGGCCAGGGCAGGGTGTTTAGAAACAAGGTGTCACAGGGGCAGCAGGTAGGAGGCAGGAGAGGGCTCAGCTGCCCCAACAGAGACCACGGAAGCACAGCTCAAACATGGGAGGGAGCACTTCCCCTTCACATGGAGGGCTGGGCTGGAGACATGGGGCGGAGGGGGGCAGCTCTGCCCCAGGGAGTCATCAGGGATGCTGTCTTGTGACTCCACATGCTTTGTCGGGTCTGGAGCTGACTAAGGCCAGCTCTGCTACTGCTCAGGAGAGGGGACAGGAGGGGAGGAAGTAGAGCTTCTGCAGAACTCCCTTAAAGGCACCTGCATCTCTTCGGCTCGCATCCCATTGGCTGACGATGATCTAGGAGGGGGATGGGGAACGTCCACCAGGGCGTCCGTGCATGAGCGTGAGTGTGAGAATGTGTGTGAGCATGGGTGTGTGACTGTGTGTGTCTGGGGTTCTATTAACAAAGACAAGAAAGAGGAAATGTGCATGGAGGAGCGCTGCCTGGCAGTCCTTGCTGACGGCAGGAGTGAGAGGCTGGGACAGGATTGGAGAGTCAGGGAGCGCGATCACTCACGTGGATGCTAATGGCCACAGGCGGCTCTGGTGACCGAAAGTGTCTGATGAGACCTCAGTCCTTAAAGCTATGGCTCATCAAGAATAATACAAGCTCTCTTCCTCTTGGGGCAGATCTTGAAGGAGGCTGTCCTAGGGCGGGTACTTTATGTGAGAGACACGTGGAAACATACAAATAAGGCTTATTACAGATTACGAGAGAGTTGACGAAGCAGCGTCTTATTTCTCAATGGCAGCATACAAACAGGACTGGCTGGGCTCACCTACAAGACCCCCCAAGGGAGAGTGGGGTCACAGAGCTTCGTACTTAGGGCATACGTCTGTGTGTTTTCTCTTTGTCAACTCACAGCTGAGGAAACCGAGGCACCAGGAGGTGAAGCCACTTTCCCAAGACCATGCCACAGGCCTGGAGTTCTTGCCCTGGCCCATGGGACCCTGGTTCATCCCTGAATTCTACAAGCATTTATTGAGAGACAGGCGCAGCTCTTGTCCCTCAGGATACGACAGTAGACAAAACTAACATCTGACCCTGGAGAGATTTTCTGGAATCAATGAGCATGAAAATTCTGTACCAGGAACAAAGACGCATCTAAACAGACACAAGAGATGATGCTAATAGTCATGGATAATGGTTGAGAGTAAGGACAGTTTTGCCTGACCACGTAAGGTATGCTAGAGTTCTATCACTGAAATCCAATAACCAATAATCCAATCCAATAAGTGACCTTTGTGGAAAGTGATATTTCTGGCGCACGTACACGGGACCAGACGCTGGTAGAAGCAGCCTGCCATCTGGAGTAACACTGGACAGACAGCAGCTGGGCATCACTTAAATGCCTCCCCTAAGGGCTCAGCTTTCTCCCCACACCATGGGGTGGAGGCCGTCCTCGGAGAAGCAGTAGTTGCTGGCTACCGTGGCTGCCTCTGCTCCCCCTGCCCTCTCAGGGCTGCCAGCCACTCCTGCATCCTGCGCTGAGTCCTGCACGGTTTGGAGATGCAGAGGGGCCTATTCAGGGTGTCCCAACCACCACTTCGCATCTGAGTTACGGGATGCTTAAAATCACGAAGCTGGAAGCCGAGGGGTGGGTGACTTAGCCCGGGGCTGGGGTGAGTGTCCACTTGAGTCCATTGTAATGAGCTTCACCAAAGCCACCTGGGCAGCTTGGACTACAAGGGGATGAGCCACTCACACGATCCCAGGGAGAGATTCCAGGCAAGAACTAAATATTCCCAATCAGCCTGAGCTTTAACATTCCGATGGATTTAGTCCCAAGTCACCAGTAACTTTAGTTTCCCCTGCACATAAAAGTCACACGCACAAACACACCCCTCTTAGTCTAAATTAGTGAGGTTTTTCGGCTTTTCAACACTGTTAACTAGTTGCCTTGAGGCACCCTGGATTCCTCTGACTTAGCAAGAACTCGGTGCACTATGGAAAGAGAACCCCAGTGCCTGCAGCAGTGCTCTTAACATCCTTCTCCCCAAGGCTCCTTGGAGATGTATGATCAGAGGTCACAGTGAGGTCCACGCTGTGTTACCTGGAACACAGGTGCAGAGCCGGCTGTCCGGGGAGAAGGGGTCAAGTTGGTGCAACACCTCAGCGGACCCTGGGAGCCCTGGCTGTCTGGCCCCTTGTTTCCTTCGGACAGGAGGTTCATTTTGCAGAAGTGGTGCTGTGCTATATCTTCTCTTGATTGACCAGGGGCTTCATTTCGTAAACCATCCTGGACGGTGTGCACTTGGTGTGTCGCTTCAGGCACAGAAGGAGCCCACAGTGGCTGAGCGTCTGTCTGCCGTCCAGCCCTGCGCAGACCATGGGGGCGCCCGGCTGGCTGCAGGATCGCTGACAGGTGAAGCGAGGACCAGGTTGGGTATCAGTTCCAGGAGCTCCTTCGGTCCCAGAAAAACCCCCAGGTGGGCCTCCAATGCCTCGGTGGGTGATGGGCCTCAGGCGCTAAATTCCTTTTGCAAATACTGACCCATCTCTCTCTCTCATTACCAGGCTGTGGGGCATGGTAGCCGAGGAGTCCGGCTGAGTCGGGCCACTGGCCCTCTGAGAGGACACATCTTCCCAAGAAGGCCCCGCTCCCCTCACAGCGGTGGGGGGCAAGGTCCCGGCCTCTCAGATGCTGGTCTGTGTCCTCCATCTCTACCCTAAGTGAGGGACCAGGGACCCACAAACTCAGAGAGAAGGGAGACAGTGCCTCCCTCCCTCTTGGGTTTTACTGTCTCTGGGGGAGGCATCCAGCTTTCTGCTTTTGAGGCTCAGCTCAAGCAGAGCCATCTCCTGTGGATCTTTAAAATCAAGACGTATGAGATCACATGTGTTCTGGCGGGTACCTCCGCTGTCTGAAGGGTCTAGCGGGCCTTTCATCCCATAAATACGTTACTCAGATGATTTCCACAGCCCCTCTGTGAAGATGAAGCAAGTGAGAAGCAGACAGACTACGGACAAGCCCAGGGAGTGATGGCTGAGGAGGGCAGGGCAGGACCACGGCTGCCTCCTAGGGGTCCTTCCCAACCCCCGTGTCAGGGAACCTGAGCTTTCTTCAGAAACGTGGAGGGGCGGCAGTACTGGGGACAGGTGAGTAGGATGACAGAGCCCTGCTTTCTGTGGCCCGTCCCACAAGTGTGCAGCGTCCACATTCCCTCTACAGCCTGGACAGGCCTCGCCAGCAGATTCTTCTAACAGGTTTCACTCAGTAAGAAAAGGAAACGCCAGCGAAGGGGATAGAGGCTGCGAGGGAAAGTGTTCCTATGTCCACAGCACACCATCCCTCCCACAGCCTGCACTGAGTAAGACAGAACAAGCGCCATCTACTACGAGACCTTCGCTCCCACTGACAAGGCTTTGCAGGCTGTTTCCAGCCCCGGTGCACTTTATTTGGCTCACCTGTTCAGGCAGTTCTTGTTCCCTTTGCCTCTGCTGTCACGGATTATGTGGCAGTGGATGGCACTTCTATTCCCCAGACTCAGGAGCACCAAGGCCTCAGCATTATATCTGCAAAACCCTGACATACATTCAGAGGAACATGGCAGTTCTTACCTGGGGGGACAGGCGGACACTTTGCAAGGCATGACCCCTGTGACAGGCCGGGTGTCGGGGTTGCAGAATGATGCGTTCACCGGGAACCTCAGGTCTCTGTAGCAGCCTGCTCTCGTGGTCATCTGCCCTGTGAGAGAGTGGGGTGCACAGTGAAGGCTCACAAACATGCCCTGTGGTAAAAGGCAGACGAAGAGCTAATGAAATCTCTTGAAAAAAATCTTTACTGTATTGGCACGTCTTTGCATTAATGGCCTTTGGCTGACTACTAATATTCTACTTTTCTGGCCTGTCTTGGTGATTTCTATCAGTGAATTGCATCAATTCTAGGATGGCTTGTATCTTCCCCCTACATTTTAACATCTTGTAACGTGTGTCTTGTTATGGGTGCCAACATATATTTGACAAAACAATCTTTTGGTTCTTTTCTATTGTTTCCAGAATTGGAAACACCAGACATTTTTTCAAAACAAACCCATATTAAGTATACTCACTTGTGCTTCTAAGTGAGAGGGCACAACAGGAAATGATCGGTAATAAACCAGAAAGAAATACAGACAACAAAGTGATAAGCGCTTCCCCACCAGAGAATTCACAGAGCAAAATACCTCCAGGGTTGCAGCCGGATGGTGACCTTTTCACAACCATGGCTTGGATGTTGCCTCAAATGAGGTCAACGGAAATGAAAGTAGGTCTGATTCTCAGCTCCATTTATACCCCCAGGGCTACTCAGGCTTTCTGAGCATCTCTCAATAGGTTCGATATTTCAACTCATTAAATTTACTGAAAAAGGTACCAATGGGGCTTCCCTGGCAGTCCAGTGGTTAAGATTCTGCCCTTCCAATGCAAGGGGTGCAGGTTTGTTCCCTGGTTGGGGAACTAAGATCCCACGTGCCACAGGGCATGGCCAAAAAATAAATAATTTTTTAAAAAGGAACCATTACTTACAGCAGGGTACCTAGACTAGTCAGAATCACAGAGACAGAAAGTAGAAGGGTGGTTGCCAGGGGATGGGGGATGAGGGGCTGGGGAGGTGTCTCATAGGCAGAGTTTCAGTTTGGGAAGATGGAAAAGATCTGGAGATGGATGGTGGTGACATTTGCACAACAATGTGCATGTGCTTAGTGCCACTGAACCATGCATTCAAAAGTGGTTAAAATGGTACACTTTATATCACATATAATATATATCATATATTTTACCACAATACAAAAGGGCTGTAAATAGATATATATCTTGAAGGATGAAGTTAAGGAGTTCATTCAGTGAAAAGGAGCAAAAAAAAGAAAGAAAAAGAACGAAACCAGTGTTGATTTTAAAAATTAACACAGTTAATATTAAGATTTAAAATGATTTTTATTGCTGTGCTTGGAAAATGGATGCAGTCCTCCTGTCCATGAGGCCCATCTGTTTTACTTCCTCTGCAGTCAAGGCTGCACTGCTCAGAATGACCTGTATCCAACTTGGTCCCCACAGGCAGATGACCAGAGGTGTCTCATAAAGGAAGGGACCCAAGACATGGTTTCAGAGGACCAAAGCCACAGGCTGGCAACTCCATGCTCAACAGCATCTAATGCTCGGTTCTCTATGAAACCGAGTCCCTTACTTAAAGAACACTAAAAGTCTCTAAGATATACGTGGAAACAAGTTTGACATTTGGCTTTGCTTTGTCAAAAGGAATAAGGCAAGTCGATGGGGAAAGTTCCCTTCTCTAGAGAATCAGTTTCCTTGATCAGTAGAGGGAAAAGAGCCCTCCTGGGTCCCAAGCACAGATCTCATGCATCTGAGCCCCAGACCACTTCCTGCCTTGGGTATGGCCCTGTCGGTGCTGATGGAGGACATCAGAGGTGACATAGGACCCTTGTGGTTTTGTGCGATTATTCAGCTCTCTGCCAACTTGACACAATCATATTTTAACCAAGTTAAACAGTTTTTATTTGATGCACCCCAGTGGGATTTCACAACTGTATCTTCCTGATTTTAATGGTCTCTCATCAGGAACAGCATATTAAAAGTGACTTTGATAAAGGTCATGGAATATTTCTGCAGAAATCTAAGAAAATTTACTTAAACATGTTGAGAATCTTGAAAGTGAGTATTTCTATGAAAGAACAAGATTTAAGTCACATACAGCAAGTGTCCCGGAGCAGTAACAGGAAGAAGGTCAAGGTGAACCTCAGTCCCACGATGCAGAAGAATGATAATAAAAAAAGAATATTTCCAGGCTCTGCTAAGACTGAAGCCGTGGCATTTGTTCTAATATACAGATTTAGTAAAATCAAAGATGGGCTTGGTGACCTGTGTAGCAAGGCCATGGAGCCCTCGTGGTCACAGCTTTCCTGGGGACGGGGGGAACCAAGAGGCACGTCAGGCAACGCAACCCACTGACACCTGCTGGGCTTCACTGTGGAAGGAAGCACATATCGGAAATCCATCTCTTTCATTGTCCTTGATGTGGTACCAAGCCAGCTGTGTGCCCTGTCACTACGTCACACACAGAACAGACGCAAACACGCAGTGATGGGCACTGGAGGAGGGTCCCTCACGTCTTACACTCCAAGCCTTGCACAGGTTCGCCCTCGTCCACTTTCCCGGAGGCGCTTTCCTGGGCATCACCCTGACTGCACGTGGCGATGGATTACTGACCCGCCCCCGTCTCCTGCCCTGCACCCGCTCTTAGCCCCGATGTCCCTAGGCTGCCTCCTGGACTCACAGACCTGGCCGTCTAACAGATGCACAAATACATAAACATCCATTTCAAAGCAGGCTTCCTCCAGTCCCGCCTGTCCGGGTCTCTGTGTGGTCAAGGGATCAGTCTTGTAGTCCCCTGCCCCCCACGCCCATGCCTTACTCCAGGCATTCCTCCTTCAAGTCCAGCTGTTGGACTGATACCACAGATACTTCCTTCACACACGCACGCACACACACACACACACACACGCTCATGCCACTCCCAGATTAAAAGTCTGTTTTTCTCTTTTTAAGCTGGAGACTTCCCAGCCTTGTCCTCCAGCTCTGCTGCATCCCTGTCATGCCGACATCCCCCCTGGTCCTCTGACTCCCAGCTGTCTCTCTACCTGGAATACGGTCCTCCGCTGCCATACCTGGCAGAAGGCTTCTTATCCCTTTAAGTCAGACCCACATCCCCCTGCCTCTGAACTCCCGTGCTCTCTGACTTGAGAGCACATCTGAATTCTCTGGTAGTTTAAACACAGAATCCTGGCCACCTCAGAGCCTTGGATTCAGCAGGCGTGGGGTGGGGGCTGTGGATTTACATTTCTAACCGATGCCCAGGTGCTGCTGGCACTGCTGCCCTGTGGACCACACTTTGAGAACCGCGCTTTATGCAATATCCAAGGCCACCACTTTTATGTCTCAGGTTACAGAGCCGTGATATACATGTAGTAAAAAATAAATACCTGGTCTTTGTCCCTGGTTCATGGCACACAGCTCCTAGAACCTTTGGGGTGTCTTTTGTGTGCCACTGAGCTGGCGGGTGGCGGGGTCCCTTCACAGCTTATGGACGGGGCTGGACCCCAGAAGCATCAAGGCATGATTAGAGGGTTTCAGCCCAATCCTGGGCCTCTGGGGAGGGGAAAGGGGCTGGAAATTTAGTTCAGTTACCAATGACCAATGATTTAATCAATCCTGTGTAATGAAATCTCCATGGAAACCCCTAAACAACGTGTTCAGAGAGCTTCCAGGAGGATGGCACACCCCGGCTTCATGGGGTCCGGAACCCTTCCCAACCTCTCCCTGTGTACCTCTTCATCTCGCCGTTCCCTGGTGTCTTTTACAATAAACCAGTGACAGTAAGTAAGTAAAGTGCCTTCCTTAGGCCTGTGAGCTGGTGTAGCAAATTATTGAACCTGAAACCGGGGGTGGGGGGGTGGGGTGGGTAGGAGAGTGTAGAACCCACAGCTTTGTAGCCAAGTCAGACAGAAGTGTGGGTGCCCTGGCATGCAAATGGCATGCAAATGGCATCTGAAGTGGGAGCAGTGCTGTGGGACTGAGCCCTTCACCTGTGGGGTCTGATGGTACTCTAGGTAGTTAGTACCGGAGTTAGATTAATGCAGGACACCCCGTTGGAAGCTGGAAAATCCAGCAATGCTGGTTGGTGTGGACAAAACCCACACATTTGGTGTCCGGAGTGTTGTAAGTAAAGACAGTTCCTGCCAGGCTAGCCCAGGTTTGTGCTCATTTGTCCTAGAAAAATGGTAAGCAACCCTTTTCCCTCTCAGTAGAATCCAGGTTTGGGTAAGACATTATATGGTGAACCTAATGTCAAAGTTCAGTGGACATATATGTGTCATCCCTTAGATCAAATTTCCTGAGAGCGGAGAGTACAGCCTGCCTGGATTGATTTGCTCCCACACTTATTAGGCAGTTTTTCAGCCAGGCCAATTTCATTATATTCAGTAACTTCTAAGCCCCAGCAAGTTAATACAGTCAGCTCTCCTGGTCCAAGGGTTCCGAATCTGCTGATTCAACCAACTACAGATGGAAAAAAATCAGAAAAACAATCCCAGAAAGTTCTAAAAAAACAAACTTGAATTTGCCTTGTGCCAGCAACCATTTACCTAGCATTTACCAAGTATTTCCAACTATTTAGGTAGCATTTACATTCTGTTAGGCATTATAAGCCATCTAGAGATGATTTAAAGTATGTGGGGGGATGTGCATAGGTTATTTGCAAATACCACCTCATTTTATATAAGGGACTTGAGCATCTGCCGGTTTTGGTATCCATGCAGGTTCCTGGAACCAACAGGGGAGGATGACTGTAGTGAATTAATAATATTTGGCAAAAAGAATCATCCAAGTAAGGGTATATTCTCTTCTTTATACAGTACTTAGGATGAACTAGGCACAGTTTTGATGACTGACCCATGTATCAATGCAGAGACGAAATCTGAATCAATGTTTTATGGGTCTACTTTTCCACTTGCTAACAGGGAATAAGAGACTATTAAATTAAAAAAAAGAAACACATGTCATTTTAAAGCTGTTCTGTAGGGAATCTTGTGAACTCCATTAAATTAAATCCTGCGAACTCCTTGAAATTAAGCCAGATAATCTTAATGACCCAATTTACATGAGGACCTACTGAACAAGAGTACCATTTTCTAA